CAAAACCCAGTGAGGCTCCTTGGGGTAAAACCCCAAGAAGGTGTGGGACCCGGGAAGACTGAGCCCACCAGGAATTTTCTCTCTCTCATTTAAAAAAATATATATTTTATTGATTTTTTACAGAGAGGAAGGGAGAGGGATAGAGAGTTAGAAACACCGATCAGCTGCCTCCTGCACACTCCCCACTGGGGATGTGCCCACAACCAAGGTACATGCCCTTGACCGGAATAGAACCTGGGACCCTTGAGTCCGCAGGCCGACGCTCTATCCACTGAGCCAAACCGGTTAGGGCTCTCACTCTCATTTTTACCCTTTTTCTTTCTTTTGCACATGTTTGTTGCAGGCTGGGCCTTGCACAGGTATACTTTGGGATCTTGTGTAGTTAACGTCGGAAATATGTTCAAATGCTAAGTTTAACGTGTCCAGCAGGGGGTGCTGTTGCCCACTGATTTCTTGCCTTTGGTGTGTTTGGCCTCTAAGACCAGTTATTAGAGGGACACTTGCAGCTTGTAGGATTTTTATTTAGTCTCGTCAGGGTCCCCCCAGCCAAAATCCCTCTATGGGACAAGGCAGTTAACGGTCCGTGAGTGAAGACGAGGAGTGTGAGGGGAACAAGTGGGGCAGAGGCTCTGACTGACGGCGAGGGATCCGGCGGCTGGAGGGAAAGGAGAGTGCATGGTAGGAACCTGCATGAACACACAGCCAATAGGAGTGCAAGAAGGAGTTGTGAACCTGAAGTCAAGTTACCAGCAGAGGGTTTTGGCAGCGTCAGGGGCTGAGGCAGAGGAGGTCAGGGGGTGTGGGCACGGTGGGTAGGGGAGAGGTTGCATAAAACCAATTCGAGTCCTTATGGTGAATGTTCACCTATGCCACAGTTTTTCTCCCTGCATTTGTATCCAAAAGAGCAAGAATTTTCAAGGCATCTCAGAGCGATGGGATTTTATGAAAATAACACTCTAGTCTAAACACTGCACCTGACAGAACCGGAACCTTTGATTTTCCTAATTTCCAACACACTCTATGAAAAAATATTCCTTTGGATCAACCAATAAACTTGTATGCATATATGCATAACACGTGGACACAGACCATGGGGTGCTGAGGGCCTGTGTGTGGGGGGGAGTGGGGGCTGAAAGAGGTTAATGGGGTGGGAAAGGAGGACCTATGTAATACTTTCAAAAATAAAGATTAAAAAAGGAAAAGAAACTATATTCCTTTGTATATTTAACAGAAAGTAGACTCAGGAAAAAAAAAGAGTTTTAGGCTAGAATACCTAATTGGGACTATGGAAAAATTTACATTTAAAAATATATCTTTGCCCTAACTGGTTTGGCTCAGTGGATAGAGCGTCTGCCTGCGGACTGAAGGATCCCAGGTTCGATTCCAGTCAGGGGCATGTACCTTGGTTGCGGGCACATCCCCAGTGGGGGGTGTGCAGGAGGCAGCTAAATTGATGTTTCTCTTTCATCAATGTTTCTAGCTCTCTATCCCTCTCCCGTTCTCTCTGTAAAAAATCAATAAAATATATTAAAAAATAAAAATAAAAATATATCTTTAAGAAATAAAGCACCCTAGCCGGTTTGGCTCAGTGGATAGAGCATCAGCCCGTGGACTGAAGGGTCCCAGGTTTGATTCCAGTCAAAGGCATATGTCCGGGTTGCGGGCTCAATCCCCAGTAGGGGGCGTGCAGGAGGCAGCCGATCAATGATTCTCTCTCATCATTGATGTTTCTAGCTCTCTCTCTCTCTCTCCCTTCCTCTCTGAAATCAATAAAAATATATTAAAAAAAGAAATAAAGCAATTCAACTGATTAAAACAGAACAAAACAAAACAAACAAAAAAACAAAGCCCAGTGTCGGCTTGAAAAGTTCTGAAGTGCACTGGCTGGGGGCACAGAGCTCCTTCAACGTCCCCCAAATCAGTGGTTCTCAACCTTCCTAATGCCGCGACCCTTTAATACAGTTCCTCATGTTGTGGTGACCCCCAATTTCATTGTTACAAAGTGAACATAATGAAAGCCTAGTGATTAATCACAAAAACAACATGTAATTATATATGTGTTTTCCAATGGTCTTAGGCGACCCCTGTGAAAGGGCCGTTCGACCCCCAAAGGGGTCGCGACCCACAGGTTGAGAACCGCTGCCCCAAATCCTTTGGCTGCGGCTGTTAAGCCTGTAGCTCTGCTGCCCCCTGCTGGCTCTGTTCTCAGGTTCAGTCTCACCGCTTACTGGGCTCTGAGGTTGTCAGGTCTGGGCCCCTCCCTCCTGGTGAGACGTGATGGGGAAACTTCCTTCCCTGTCAATCAGGGTCCTTATGTCAACACGTTGCGGCTTCTGGAGGCAACTTCCTTCCCGCTCCCTGATGTCACCTGCTCCATCTCCTCACAGACGAATCAGAGCTCGCGGTGAGAGAATACAGCAATCCCCCCTGGCAGGGTCTTCACCCAGTTGCCTAGAGATGTTTCTACCCTCCGTGCTAGGGACCAGGCAAGATCCTGCAGGAAGATGCGTGCGACCGCAAGCCAGGAGCCCTCCCCTACGCTGACATCTAGTCCGACTTTGATCCTCAGGCCAATGAGGCCCCCAACTCCAGTTTCCCACCCTCAGAATTGCCCGGGGGCATGTGTGTGACTTTGGTTCTTGCCCTGCCTTTTCTGGGTTCCCACCGTCTCCTAGATTTTGGACTGAAAATTAGCCCTCCCATGGTTTTAAGATTTACAATAATTTTTCCTCCTTGCATTTTTCGGTGGAGTGACATGTTTGATGCCCTGGACATGGCCCTCATCTCTTTCTTATTTATTTATTTATTTATTTATTTATCATCTATTTATTTAAATGTTCTATTTCATTCTTTTTAAAAAATATTTTATTGATTTTTTTACAGAGAGGAAGGGAGAGGGATAGAGAGTTAGAAACATCGATGAGAGAGAAACATTGATCAGCTGCCTCCTGCACATCCCCCTACTGGGGATGTGTCCGCAACCAAGGTACATGCTCTTGACTGGAATCGAACTCGAGACCCTTCAGTCTGCAGGTCGACACTCTATCTACTGAGTCAAACCGGTCAGGGCTCATTTTTCTTTTAAAATATATTTTTATGGAGTTCAGAGAGGAAGGGAGGGGGAGTGAGAAAGAGAGAAACATCAATGATGAGATGAGAGAGAATCATTGATTGGCTGCCTCCTGCACGCCCCCTACTGGGGATAGAGTCGGAAATCTGGGCATGTGCCCTTGACTGGAATCGAACCCCAGACCCTTTAGTCTGTAGGCCAACACTCTATCTACTGAGCCAAACCGGTTTCGGCAAAAGGCTGAGTTTTTAAAAAAATATATTTTTATTGATTTCAGAGAGGAAGGGAGAGGGAGAGAGATAGAAACATCAACGATGAGAATCACTGACTGGCTGGCTGCCTCCCGCATGCCCCCCACTGGGGATGGAGCCAGCAACCTGGCCATGTGCCCTGACCGGAAATCGAACCATGATCTCCTGGTTCATAGGTGGATGCTTAACCACTGAGCCACACCTGTCGGGCAAGGGCGAGTGTTTGACTCATCTTTTCCATCCTGAGAGCTTACCCTTTGCAGTAGCTACAGCCACCAAAGCAGGGCGGGGCACACAGCTGATTGTCCACGAAACATCGGTTGAATGACCGAATCCTCGGTTCCAGGCACTGCCCCCTGTGCTTCTGACCCGTACGAACTCCTCTAATCCTCATGCAACAATTCCAGGTTACAGACCAGCCAACGGAGGCCCAGAGAGGCCAAGGAACGTTGGTAACACGGGACAGGTGATGGGTGAGGCGGTGAGGATGCCGGAAGGCCCAGGGTCACTGGTGGGGCCCACAGTTCCTGTCCACCTGAGGTGTTTGCCCCTGAGAATGCACCTTCTCCAGAAGAGGAGACCTCAGCTCCTGGACCCTCAGCCTGGGCGCCCCAGGCTGCTCCCATGTTGTGAAAAAGTTTTGGCAGAGGCAAGCGCTGCCACCACCGGACCTTATGATCCTGCATAAGCTTGTCCCCAGCTCCCTAGCTCAGAGTTCTCATGTGTCACTGTGGGGGAGGGGACACAATACATTTCATCCCTCCCTGCAACCCCCCCACCAACCTGCCCCCAGCTTGTGGAGGCCAAGTTCCCCTTCCAGCCTGGCCCCAGTCTCTCCCCCAGGGCTTCCTGTTGGGGTGTCCTAGGCCCCACCCCAGAGCTGGGCACTTCCCTCCCTGACACAGGGACCTGGACCCACTCTGCCCTGCCAGAGGCAGACATGGTGCCCCTGCTGCTGCTGCCCCTGCTGTGGGGGGGTGAGTAGCTGAGGGAGGGGGGGCAGGGCAGGTGGGGGAGGGGCGGGGGCTGCATCTGAGCCTCTGTGTGCCCCTCCTCCAGGGTCCCTGCAGCAGCCACCACGCTATGAGATCGAAGTGCAGGAATCAGTGACGGTGCAGGAGGGTCTGTGTGTCCACGTGCCCTGCTCCTTCTCCTACCCGCGGCGTTCGTGGTCTTCCTATAGCAACCTCTACACCTACTGGTACCGGGACGGGGACAACATAAACCGTGCTGATCCTGTGGCCTCAAACAACCCAGATAAACCAGAGGATACAGAGACTAAAGGCCGCTTCCTCCTCGCGGACCCCATGACCAGCAACTGTTCCCTGCAAATCAGAGACGCCAGGAGGAGTGACTCAGGACGCTACTTCTTCCGAGTGGAGATAGGAAATTTTGTGAGATATAGTTACCAAGAGAAGATGCTGGATTTGCAGGTGACAGGTAAGGCAGGGGCCACGGAGAGGACCCAGGGACAGGGGACCCCGTCTTAGAGCAGGAACAGGACACTGGACACTCCCTGTCCAGGCCGTGGGCCCTGGGTGGTGGGAAGGGACACAGGGCCTGGGTGAGCTCAGCCCGAGGCAGGGCCTCTCTCAGGGTCCCGCTCTGAGTCCCCACCCCTGGAGCCCAGGCACCTGCCTTTCCCCCTGCAGCCCTGACAGAGAAACCCCACATCCGGATGAGGGAGCCTCTGGAGTCTGGGCGCCCCACACAGCTGGCCTGCAGCCTGCCAGGGGCCTGTGAAGGGGGACGACCTCTCACCTTCTCCTGGGTGGGAGCCGCTGTGGACTCGCTGGACCCCCAGAACCTCAGCTCCTCGGTGCTCACCTTCACTCCAAGGCCCCGGGACCATGGCACCAACCTCACCTGTCAGGTGAAACGGGAAGGATCCCAGTGGATCATGCAGAGAACCATCCGGCTCAATGTGTCCTGTGAGTGTTGGAGGGGGCCTGGGTCCATGGGAGCAGGGGAGTGACATGTGTGTGTGTGTGTGTGTGTGTGCAGGAGGCTGAGCTATCCTGAGAACACCCAGGCATGGATCTGCGTGTAGGTGGGGAAGGGCCAGAAGGACAGCTCTCCCACCTTCCCAGTTCCCACTGGTGCTCCTTGGTATTGGGGTGACTTCCATGTGAAGTGGGGCCCTGTCTTTCTATGCCAGATGCCCCACGTGGGGGCTGGAGGTGGAGGGGAGTTCACCTGCTGGGCTCCCAGCTCCTCTCCTTCTGCCTCTCTGTGCAGAGTGAGGTGCAGGACAGGTGTGGGGCCTGCGCATCGTGGTCAGGTGTTGGGCTGTGGGTGGACTGACACCTGGACAACAC